CCCCCCCCCCCCCCCCCCGCCGAGCGGGTACTCGGAGACAGGCAGCTGGAGGCGGGTGCTGCAGCCGAACAGGTAACAAGAATAACCCCCCCCCCCCGAAATCTGGGCTCCCCCCCCCCCTGGGGAGCAGAGAACCGGGCACTCATGGGGGGGGGGGGGTATTGCTGTTACCTGTTCGGCTGCAGCACCCGCCTCCAGCTGCCTGTCTCCGAGTACCCGCTCGGCGGGGGGAGGGGCGGGGGCAGCACCACCAGAAATCTCCGTTTGACTTTTGATTGCTTGGGAAGTTTTTTCCAATCAGAGTCATTTCCAGCCGGTTTTATCCCACGGGGTCCCCCCGAGAGCGGCCCGGCAGAGCGGAGAGGCGCGGGATTGGCTGGCTGGGGTTTTGGAGGGGGAGGGGGGTCATGGCTGAGTGGCTTGAAGAGTTAAAAAGAAAGACACAGGAGCCGGGGTTTGTAGACTAGGGAGGACGGGGGGGGGGAGCCCCTCACACTGTCCCCCCCTCGCCTGGGCCAGGGCTTAGGGCCACGGGTCTGGGCAGATCTGGAGCCAGCACATCCTTCCCTCAAGCCCACGGACCTGTTCCCCTTGCAGGCTCCTGACCCGGCAAAGGTTCCGAGCCCAGAATCACGTCCACGCAGCGCCAGGTGCCAGTCCCTGCAGGTGGGGCCCGAGTAGAGCCCACAGGAGGGTGCAAGCGGCTGGCAGGCCTGGCCCCAGCGAGCAAAGGCCAAGACCAGCCCTGGGTGAGCAGGTGTGTGCGGGATTGGGCCCTCCTGTCACGCCAGCAGTGTTCAGGTGCCACGCAACGGTGGTGGGAAAGCGACAGCCTCCGGGCAACGCAGGCTGCTTTCCAAACTGCCAGCTATGCCTGACCAAGGGGTGAGGAATCAGGATCAAACCGCTCGACCTTGCATCACTTGCCCTGAGACATCTGTGAGTGTGTGTATGTGTGTGTGTGCGCACACATGCATGATGAGTGTGTGGGCGTGCACATGTATGATGAATGTGTGGAAATGCACATGTATGGATGAGTGTGGGAGCACGCACACATGTATGGTGAGGGTAGGATGCGTGGAGGTGATGATCTAGAAAAGGGCACAGTGTCGTTATTGATAACATTTCACCATTCTTTCCACATGCTCCTTGCCCTGCCTGTGTCCCCTCTGTGTCATGTTCCTGGCACACACCCCAGAGAGCAGCTTTATAAAATAGAAATCCTCTCAATGCCACATAACTTTGTCGCTTACAATCAAGCACACACAAGAACCATAAAACACAGAGAGACAAAACAGGCTGCTCCCGAAGGCAGCGAGACGCAACACACCCCACTTTGATCTAGCAAGCTGGCTCTCTGCAGATTGACTCTGATCTCACCTGGCCCTGCAGAGCCCCCTGCCTGCAAGAAGGACCAGGAAAACACCTGAGAATTTAAAGTGAGACATCACAACATTAATACTGTTTTCAATACAACTATAGTTGCTGGGAAGTCGACGCTCACAGAGCAGGGAAGGGACTTGCCCAAAGTCACCCACTCAGCCAGGGCCACAGCCGGGCACAGAACAGTTCCAATTCCCAGCCTGGCACTCTGCCCACCAGGACACACTGTCTCCAGTCAGAGATATGGTTCAGTTTCCCTCCTGGCTTTTGTCTTGGTGTTTATACAACATTAGCCCTTCTGGGTGGGATTCTCCACTGCAGCTTGTGTGGGCCAGTTCTGCTCCCCTTGATGCCTGCCACAACATTCCCCAGGGCTCAGCAGGGCCAGGCCCGTCAGTATACATCATAGCAATGTGGGTAGCTGTGGGACTCCCAGCTGAAGACAGGGTCCGTGGTGCTAGGTGCTGTACGATCACAACACAGAGAGAGGGGTTCCTGCCTTGTGCTGCCCCTCACCCTTGGAGAGCAGCACAGATGCTAGGCCCAGCTCTGCCACTGGCCTGCTGGGTGACCTGGGGCAAGTCAGTGCCCTCTGCCTCGGTTTCCCCATCTGTAGAATGGGGATAATGACAAAGCCCTCATTTATTGTTCTGTGGAGCATGGCCCTGCATTGACTATAATAGGCTGCCCACTCAGGCCCAGGATCAGAGCCACAGACAAGCCAAAGTCCCTGCCCCAAGTGCCTTTCAATCTGTCCTGGAAACTGGTGAGAGACGGGGGGAATCAAGGCCCTGGCAGCAAAGCCTGGCACTCTGGGAACGGGGGGCAGGATGGACAGGGCACTCAGCATAGGGGGAAGTGTGGTAGAGTCCTTGGTCTCGGAGGAGAGAGGTAGAGACTGGGTAGTGAATTGGGTAGGACCAGGCCAAGGGCTCGTAGGGTCTTGCAGGCATCACACCTGCCCTTTGGTGTCATTGCAGGACACTGGTGTTACTGTCCCTTCCAAACTAAGTGGGGTGGGGAGAGAGAGCAGCATGTGCCACAGCCCCCAGTGCAGGAGGAGGGATTGTTGCATTCTGGGGGGCTTTGATAGCACCATCCCAGGACATGTCCTGGCGCACAGGTGGCTGCCTGCCATGCTGGATGCCAGAGGGCCAGCTGGAGTCCAGTACTTGCATGAGGCAGGGTCATATGCAGGGCATACCGTGGGGCACTGCAGAGCACATACCCTGTGCTGCATGACCATCCACACACTGCAAGTGTGCTGGACCCATGGCCCGTCACAGCTGGGGTTGGGTGTCTGAGCTGTGGGTGGTGCTGGGAACCCAGGTAAGTGTTGTGCTGCGTCCCATGGCACATCATGCCAGGCCACGTACTCGGAGGCCCACCAGGATATCCCGACATCACAAAGAGGGTACTGGCTCAGTTCTGGCTCTGCCCCCAGCTCCCTGCGGGACGCTGGACAAGTCACTTAATCTACCTTGGGCTGCATTACCACCTGTACAATGGGGAAACTAGCGCTGCACTGCCACACAGGGTGCGTGAGACTAATGCCACTAATAACTGTGAGGTGCCCAGACATCACGGTGATGGGGGCTGGATAATTAGATGGATAGATATAGGCGGGTGGGTGGGGATGGAAAGGTAGATAGAGGGACTGTATACAGGGTTAGATAGACAGACTGGGAGTATGGGGATGGATAGATAGATAGAGGGGCTGTATGGGCCTGGATGGATAGAGGTGTGTGTATGGGGAGGGAAGGATAGATAGAGAGGTGTGTATGGGGTTGGATAGACAGAAGGAGGTTATGGGGATGGATAGAGAGATAAAGGGGGTGTTTGGGGCTGGATAGATGGATGGAGTGTCTGGGGATGGATGGATAGATAGAAGGAGTATCTGGGGATGGAGGGAGGGAGAGAGGTTGTGTCTGGAGATGGATGGATGGATACAAGGAGTGTCTGCGGATGGATGGATGGATGGATGGATGGATGGAAGGAGTGTCTGGGGATGGATGAAGGGAGGGAGGTTGTGTCTGGGGATGGATGGATGGATGGATGGATGGATGGAGTGTCTGGGGATGGAGGGAGGGAGGGAGGTTGGGAGGTTGTGTCTGGGGATGGATGGAGGGAGGGAGGGAGGGAGGTTGTGTCTGGGGATGGATGGATGGATGGATGGAAGGAGTGTCTGGGGATGGATAGAAGGAGTGTCTGGGGATGGAGGTAGGTAGGTAGGTAGTGTCTGGGGATGGCTGGAGGGAGGAGAGAAAGGACATGATAAAAGGGAGAGACATTTGCCATGCTCTCTCTCTTCCACCTACATCTACAGACACCACCCCCAAATGACTGAAGCGCTAATCAAAAGGGAGAGCCTAGCTGAAGAGCAACTAGCCAGCCTGTGGTGAGAAGTATCTAAGTTTGTAAGAGCAATGAGGAGTCCGGTTGCACTTTAAAGACTAACCGATTTATTTGAGCATAAGCTTTCATGGGTAAAAAAACCATTTCTTCAGATGCATGGAGTGAAAATTACAGATACAGGCATAGACATACTGGCACATGAAGAGGAGGGAGTTACCTCACAAGTGGAGAACCAGTGATAACAAGGCCAGTGCAGCCAGGGTGGATGTGGTCCACTCCCAATAATTGATGAGGACATGTCAATAACAAGAGAGGGAAAATTGCTTTTGTAGTGAGCCAGCCACTCCCAGTCCCTATTCAAATCCAAATTAATGGTGTTAAGTTTGCAAATGAATTGTAGCTCTGCAGTTTCTCTTTGAAGTCTGTTTTTGAAGTTTTTTTTGTTGAAGGATGGCTACTTTTAAATCTGTTATTGAATGTCCAGGGAGATTGAAGTGTTCTCCGATTGGCTTTTGTATGTTACCATTCCTGATGTCCGATTTGTGTCCATTTATTCTTTTACATAGAGACTGTCCGGTTTGGCCAATGTACATGGCAGAGGGGCTGGCACTGATGGCATATATCACATTAGTAGATGTGCAGGTGAATGAGCCCTGGATGGTGTGGCTGATGTGGTTGGGTTCTATGATGGTGTCGCTAGAGTAGATATGGGGACAGAGTAGGCAACGGAGTTTGTTACACGGATTGGTTCCTGGGTTAGTGTTTCTGTGGTGTGGTGTGTAGTTGCTGGTGAGTATTTGCTTCAGGTTGGGGGACTGTCTGTAAGTGAGGACTAGCCTGCCTCCCAAGGTCCGTAAGAATGAGGGATTGTTTTCCAGGATAGGTTGTAGATCATTGATGATGTGCTGGAGAGGTTTTAGCTGAGGGTTGCATGTAATAGCCAGTGGTGTTCTGTTTTTTTCCTTGTTGGGCCTGTCCTGTAGTAGGTGACGCCTGAGTACCCATCTCACTCTGTCAATCTGTTTCCTCACTTCCCCGGATGGTATTGTAGTTTTAAGAATGCTTGATAAAGATCTTGTAGGTGTTTGTCTCTGAGTTTTTTACACACGAAAGCTTATGCCCAAATCTGTTAGTCTTTAAGGTGCCACCGGACTCCTCATTGTTCTTGTGGATAAAGACTAACACAACTACTCCTCTGATACTTACATTTGTAAGGGCATTGAAAGTGTTCAGATCAGCTTAGAATGTGTTTTGTTTTCATTTCATTTGATCAAATCTGACTTGTTATGCTCTGACTAATAATCACTTAAAATCTATCTTTATAGCTAATAAATGTGTTTGTTTATTCTACCGGAAGCAGTGCGTTTGGTTTGAAGAATCTCAGAGACTCCCCTTGGGATAACAAGCCTGGTACAGATCAATTTCTTTGTTAAATTGATGAACTCATATAAGCTTGTATCATTTGGTTGCACATTCAGTCAGTCATAGTGGCTAGTGTCATGCGGTTGCAAGTAGCTTGGAGTGGCTTACATGCCAGAGGCTGTGTGTGAACAGCCCAGCAGTGGATAACACCAGAGCGGAATGTCACACA